GAGAGAGAGAGAGAGAGAGAGAGAGAGAGAGAGAGAGAGAGAGAGGCTGAATGGCAAAATTGAAATATGGGTCAAATTGCGGCCGCGATCTATTTTACAGTTGGAATGATTTAAAAAAATTATTTAGCATTTTTCCTGGAAAGATCACAACAAAATCTATGAGTACTCCAATTTCAGGTTTTTTCACGCATTCTTCTGAGCGCGAAAAATCACTGAATTTTGGAGTACTTTTTCAGTTGACCCACACATGGCTGAGTGGCAAAAATGGAAAATGTGCCCGAATTGGCGCGACAATTATTTCGTGTTCTAAATGATTTTTTGAAAATGTTCTGACATTTTTCCTGGAAAGAACACAACCTCATATATGGATTCTCAAAATTTCAGATTTTTCTGTGGATTACTCCGAGCACAGAAAATTGCAGTTGTTTTTTTGTAAAGCGCCTGTTTCATTGCGCCTGACCTCCCTGTTTTGAGAAGACGGGCCTCAACGCCTGGGCCTGAGGGCCATTTTGCAGTTCACATGCCCTCACTTCTCTTCGGGGTCCGCTTCCACCAGAGGACCGGTCCGTCCTTTTTCCAAAAGTCCCGGTTCTACAAGAGCTAGCTGTAGGTAGTCCGCAATATCTTGAAGGACCGGTCCCCCAAGTTTTTTCCTCCCCTAAGAACCCACTTGCATCGTGGTCGCCTGCCGCCAAAAATCCGACACTTTGACACAGACGCAGAAGCCCACTATACCGCAGCCTTAGGGCTGCGACTAACCCCCTTGCCCCCACTTTAAAGGGAACACTCAAAAAAAGAAAAGAGCCCGGATTTGGGCTCCTCTCCGAGAGCGCGGAAAATCCCCACCGCCAATTTTTTTTTTCTATTTTTCTTTCCTTATGCCCGGGTATCCCGGACGTCAGACCCCCCCGGGCATCATCATGCCTGAGTGACCGGCTGGTCATGAACATCTTCCTAGGTGTCAAAGTATCAAGTCCTGGGGTCTTATTAAGTTGCATTAATTTCACTCCACCCAGAGTTCTTGTTGTGAGAGGGGCTCCTCTAGCTTCTGGGCCCGATCCGTCCGAATAGTGCAGTCCAAGTAAGAGAGTGATTGGTCAGGGCGCGAGTGTTCTAATCGTGTTTGTACTCCTGTTCCTTGGATGTGTAGAGAGTACTCCTGTTCCTGGGACCGTGTTTGTAAAAATCGTGGGCCATGTGGAGCATGCCTTCCATACTTGTTGTGGACCCATTAGGTCTGTCCAGCTGTTCTATGGCTGCGTTCCTACCGATCAATTTGACTTTCTGAAAAAAGTATTTGGACATCCGCTCCCCCTGCTACCATTCTTGTACTCGTGCTCTCGTCTGTAACCCTCGGGTCCTCCACCTCTCCCAGTCTGCTAGCTCGGCCCTAGCTGTGTCTAGGATGTGGGGTGGATACTACCATCAACTCCACCTCGGGAGGCCACTTGGTGGAGGAGTCACGATGTGGAGTATCCTACTTCGTTTTTTTCGGTCAGCAGAGGAGTGAACCGACTATAGAAAGAGTTTCCTTTGCATTCACACGAGTTTCTCTGTTCTATTGTTACAATAGTTTCAGTATTGATTTCTATCCGACTACGTGGTACCCATAATTGTGTTGCTTTAGCCTATTTATTAATGATTGGTTGGTACTTTATTTTTCACTGTTTATCCTTCTCCTGCTTCTTCTTCTTCCCCTCCTCCTTCCTTATCGCCCGTCTCCTCCTCCTCCTCCGCTTATACAGTATTCTAGAGTCCTTTTCTCACTCCGCTCTTTTCTTCTTCGTTCTCTGCTCCTCGCCCTTGCCCCCGGTGACTGCTGGATGGTCACATTATCTCAATGGAGTATAGCCAAGTGGGAAGGCATCGGTTTTGATACCGACACACAAAGGTTCGAATCCTTTTACTCCAGTGAATAATTCCATTTCAGTTTTTTTTCGCGATCTGATGTATCAAACTTCGGAAACCTCGAAAGAAGCCAAAACAAAACATATCCAAATACAAAAAACGAAAGGTGACTTCCTTTTTTTCACCCACACAAGACACATTCCCCATCTATTCTGGGGGCACCAGTCTGGTTAAGACAGCAAGACACAAAAGAGATGACAAAAAGAACAGATAAAAAGAAGTGAATAGAACCATCCGCGCCCAGCACAATCCGCCTTTTTCTTTTTTGTGTCTTCTGGAGCCTGCTACTGCCCTCACCTGCCACTGCTCTGGGCCTTCTACAGGGGTGCCGATGCTGGCTGGGAAACATCCCAACGGTATTCGGACACACAGCATGGAGATCCCTGAAAGGTATTTTTTCATTATGGAATTTATGTAGTATATATGATGTTTCTATCAAAGCATAGAGCTAAAAAAGTTTGTATGCATAGCCACTTTTGTAGTACTGGTTTCTGGATTCGGACCCTTTTTCTGGAAACATTACAAAGCTATCAAGAGTACGTGTCAAATCACTTTAGTGCTTTGCAGGCGCTTGCAAGAGAGCACTTATGTCGGTTGCTCGGACGCTAACACCTTGATGATAAATGTTCTCTGGTCACTTTTGAGTGGACTGCTTTGACTGCTGTGCCACTTGCATGCCTCAGCTCCGAAGGCTCACTAGGTTGGCAGATGGAATCCGGCACAAGGTCATCGAAGGGATAATTTCTCCGAAAGCGGGAGAATTGGATGAACAGAGGTATAGTGTTACCCAGCCAGACAGGCGGAGCCTTAGCCTTGGCCATCGCTCCTCTGCAAGGGGCTCTTCTGCTGCTTTGGCAGTGGCTGCTCCAGATTGGGAAGGGAGAGAAGGTGCATCAGGACCAGAAAAACGAAGGGGAACAGAAAGGGGCCCAGGGAAGCAATCACGCACATCGCGTTCCGGAAGCTCTGCCCAAACTGGGGATGTATCAACCCGTGTGGCTCCTCCGTCTGTATATCAACGGGATGATGCTGACGATGAGGATGAACCTGGTCCAACAGATGATCCTGGAGGGCGTCGACTGACATCTGTCGAGTTCCCGGCGGATCTTGATCGTGGGAGGGTTCAGGGCCGTGGCTCCACTCCAAATTCTATTCCGAGTCCTAGGGGGAGCGTTGCTACAGGTAGCACTCCTGGCTCTCCTAAATTTCCTCCAAATCCTACCGCTAGTACCAAGACTGATGCCTGGCAGGGTGGTGAACAGTCAAGGCCTCCATCGCGACTTGCTTATCACTCCCGGCGTGGGACAGAGACTGAGTCTTTTCAGGTGGAAGAAGGGCAGGATGGTGAAATTTCGACACCACAACTTACTTACCCGTCCAGGCGTGTGACGGAGAGTGAGTCTTTCCATGTGGCGGAGGGGCAGGAGGATGTCCGCTGGCATCCTAATGCCAAGTTGTCATTAGGAGGAATCAGCGATGTTGTAAGAGGGAGCAGGATAACCCTTGGGCCTGGGGACCCTGAAGGGACACAGGCACTTGGGGGTGAAGTTGAGTTCAATGGTGTGGCGAGTACAGAGGCAGGTTATCCTCCAGGAAACAGCAGACAAGCATCTGTGCGAGGTTCTCAAGTTCGATTTGACGGCTCCCAAGGTGACGTGCCGTT